ATAAAACTTCTTGAAGGATTGTCGTGGGGATTAAACACTATATGTAAAGCATTTAGCATTGTCTCTACATAAATGGATGAAGGCTGCTCTCATATAATACCTTCAAAAATGAAAAAAATGGCTAACCTGGAGAGATCATGAAACAAGGAAACTCATTTCTAGATCACGCAATATCAAGGAACCAGAAAACTGAGGTTACAGTGTTTACAGCCACATGCGCAGTCTTTTCTGATTTTAAGCCAGTGTTTACAATGCTAAGATAATGGTGCTCATACACTGTGACAGGGCGCCCTCTAGTGGTTTTAGATATTAGCATTTTCATTAAGATGATTGAAGAACATAGCTTTTAGATTTATAAGCAAACAGCAAGGGTTTGGGGGTTCATTAATCTTGGATAAAGCTAATAAAGCTAATCTTAGATAAAGCTAGTAAAGTGCCATTAATTATATCACTTCTAATAATAATTCCTTAGTCAACTTTTCCGTAAAAGTCATGTTCTGGGCATTTAATAGATCTTGCAGTTCTGAAAGACAAAATTACATTTTAAATTAAAACATAAATTACAATGAACATTGGAATTGCACATAAAATCTTCAGAGCAGTTCTTTGTGGCATGAAATTGAAACTAATTGGGAATCACTCAAAAGGACGGTGCAATGGCAGAACTGGGGTTTTTCCAGCGGTTACCTTGCTACGAACTTGGCTGTGATTTTGGGCAAGTTGCTTATTTCTGTGGACCTCAGTTTCCTCATATCAGAATATAGGACTCTAAGCATGAATGCTTCAAAGGTCCTTTCCAGCTCTAAGATTCCTTAATTTGAGGGGGATAAATTATCCATTTTCTTTTAATAGTAGGGCTCTGACTTCAAAGAAACTTTGTCAACTTTTCTTTATGAACTAGGGTCTCAAATGCAATAGTTTACAGTCTATTTGAAGATGAGTTTATAACATTTTATAAAACCACCCCTAGCCAGCTGTAACAGAGATGGTTAGTCACTAACAGATTTATGTTCTCCCTCCACAGTGTAGTTTTGCAGAGAAGCAGTTGCCCAATCAAGACTCTATTTAACAGTCCCTCTTTTCATCCAGGTGGGACCAGATGACTAGTTCTTGCCAAAGAGCCGTGAACAAAAATATGGGTACCAATTACAAGCCATGGTTGTTAAATATCAAATGTGTGACCACCCCATTCTTTCTCCTCACTCATCATGTCCTCAAATAAATGACATGTGGGCTACCTGGAGTCATAAGATGGCTGAGCCACAGGTGAAAGGAACCTGGGTACCTGAATTACCTATTGGAGACTATCTGCCCAGGAGAGCCACCCAATCAGAACATCTTCAATGGACTTTGTGTGAATGAGAACTCTGTGTGAAGGCACTGAAAATTATGGGTGGTTCGTTATAGCAGCTAGCTTTAATTATCCTAACATACTCTCCAGCTCCATGATGCTGGAATCCAATTTGAGGCATTGCATAAAAGCAAACTGATTTCATAAAAGCAAATTCTCTCTGCCCCCAACCTGCAGTTGAGATTGGTTTACTCACCATTTCTGAGATTTAAGAAAATAGTTCTGTTCTGAAAAAAGGTCTTATCAAGATTTCCATTAAACTATTGTAATTTGTTACACAAAGGGAGTCTGATGCAGACAATCTGGTTATTGATGGGTATAGATGCCACAATTACTGCTGAGTGATGCTATCAGGTACTTTGGAACAAAAGAAAGTCACATAATCATTGATCTAGAGAAAATGAACTAAGCAGTTAACTTAGCTGTTTTCTGAAATGTTCCCACTCTTCTACATTTTGAGGTGGACCCTTGTTAATGGGGGAGGTGAGAATCATTGCTTATATCCAAGTTATTGATTGATAATTATTTTTGATAGCAGGAAAAATATGGAAGACAAAACAATTTTTTAAATATATAGCTATACTACAAATACTGACAATATTTTATTTAAGCTAGCATTCTATGGGAAGATAATTGAGAATCAGTGATGTAGAAACACATCATCGGCGACAGTAGGTAAAACCCATTACAGTACAAACAGGATTGTGGGACAATGCTGTTCTGGAGCCATAGGCCAAGTATGATGCTGGCTACGATCAGAAAATTATAGCAAATGCTCAATCAGCTATAGAGAAATGAACTCCCAATGAAATAAATGCCTTGTGAAATTAGCAACTTTAGGATTTCATTGTACTTTGCCACTTAAATTATCATTTAGGAGCCTGAGTTCAAACTGGTTTTGTTAACAAAATAATGAATGTGACTACTATTATGAGGAAAATTAGCTTAGAAATTTAAAAATTTCCTGCAGATACTAACAATTTAAAGGGTCTAGCAACTTAGTTGATCTAGCAACTAAGCTTCCAGGAATCTGTTCAGAGAAATATTAACACCATGCAGAAAAGGTCAATTTTTCATAGAAAAATGAGAACATAAAAAATGAGAACCTAAAGTTCATCGATTGACAAGTGATCAACATAATTATGGCAAATCTGTACTACAGAATGCTATGTACCTCTCGCAAAGAATAGATGTTTATGTGCTAGTGTGAAGAGAAGTCCTCAAAGATATATGTAGTATGACCCTTTCGTTCCATTGTTAAATTGATAGGTTTTGTATATGGCTAGAATAAAAGACCAGAAAGTTAATAGATCAGTTAAAGAGTTAATTCTGATTTTAAGGTGAGATTTTTCCTTTCTTTATACTTTATTCCTTAGTTGACTGAAGGTGAATTATCTTCATAATTAACATCCTCATATACTCTATCCTGTGGCCAGACTTTATTTCTCATTCCTTATCTTCATGCCCATGTTAACTCAGATCACTTCTTTCTGAAACATCTTCCCCCAAAAGTCATCTAACCAAACCATTCTAGGCTGTTTAAAGGTGATCTCCAAAAAATTGATCTCAATGTTCACATTCTAGACAATTATTTCTCATTTGTCTAAACATCTATTACCCTTGAAGTCTTTTACAGGTATTTATAATCAATTCCAGTTTGTATCGTAAGAATCTTAACTCTCCACGTCAGGTTTTATGTTTCCCACTTACTAGGTAATAGGCTCCTGAGAGGAAACCGAGATTTACTCATCTTTGTGTCCCCTATAATACTCAATGTAACAGATGCTCAACCAATGTCTGCTGAATAATGGGAAATAAATTTTATGCAATTCAATGTGTATGCTGCTAATAATTTAGAAAGAGACCAAATGATTCACCACTTTATTTTCAAAACTTTATTTATACAGAATCTTCAGAGTATTTCCCTTTAATTTTAGCTAGACAAAATCCCAAAGTTTAAAATCAGATATTTTATAATATGACATACTTAAGTATGGGGAAGAGAGTTCAATCATTTTGAGAAAAAGCTTTCATAATTGTATAAACATTAATATTTACAATATTCTTTAATATACAGACAACATGGCATCATATTTAAATGTACAAAACAGTTTAAATCATTGTTAACCACAGGACATTTCAAAATACAAACTAATAAAAGAAATCCATAAACACTGATAATATTTAGGGAAAACAAAAACAGGTTTATCAATAATATATAATACACAATTTACATGTCAAATCCACAAATTTAAAGATATATGACCAATCTACTTAAATCATGCTAGAATCTAAATATTATCCTATAATTCATAGGTTGAAACTAATGTTCTATTGTACCCTATGAAACAGGAATACAAACTATGAAATCATATTTAACAATCCTTCTTAATTCCTAAGAGAGTACTTTAGGAAACCTCAAAGATAAAAAATCAGGCATTTTCCCCTGAAATGAAAGTCTTTATGAATATATTCATAAACATATTCAAAGGAAGAAAATAAAAACAGGAACATATAATGAGTTAATTAGGGGGATATAATATTTATTCTGTCTTGTTCCAGAAAGCATTTGAGCTGGGTTTAAAAGATTCAAAAAATACCAGAAAACACAAATTACAGATTAAATGAAAAAACAGAAAACAGTTGAGGGAAACAGCACACATAGAACCATGTAAAAAAAAAGGTAAGGAAGTAAGCTAAAGTATGTTACATTATTCTCCACAGTGATTTTTCTGGAAATATTGCAAAATGTGGCATTTATAAGAAAATTATTAAGCTACTGGTAAACTGAAGACTCTGATCCAATTTCTTTGTAAATTTGTATTAACCCCGATAGAGCAGATTATGATAAAATGTGCTTTTTTCTTTGTGCTCAAGTGAAGTAAGTTTTCCTAACTGTCTTATGTGTGACTCTAGATTTAGTCTCTAGCTATCGGTATAGATTTAAAAAAAAATGGGGGAGGGGGATACTTTGACTCAATTTCTACTGAGAAATCCATCAACTGGATATCTGCTGATGACCTGAGGCTAGGTAGCTACATTTCAGGTGTTCAGGTGTCATATGGCTTATTTTGGTAAAGGACAAAGCATTAATCCTAGGGCTTCCTGACCATATCAACTCCTCCAGGTCCTATAGTCACCTGGTTAAGACCCAGCAAGATAACCAAGAAGGTAAACTGAGGAGCAGGAGGCCTTCTCAGGTTGGCACCTGAGGCCACAGTCTTCTATGTTGCCCAGACAGCTGCAAGGGTCTGATTCTACATACAGTTTGCATATCACAGAACTCACCCCACTCGTGGGTGGGAGAAAAGTTATAGACAGAAGGCTGGGGAGGCATTAATCTGCCGCTTCTCAGAAATCTGAATGGGTCAGTTCATCTCTATTCTTCAGGTCCTGCTTTCCACAAAAGATAGAATGAAATGACCTTGTACTTATATGCTGAGAGGTAAGTAGAGGGAGTAGGGGTAAAGAAAAGGGCTGGAGGGAAATGAAAAGAGAAAAGATGATAGGATATGTGGCATGAGTTGCAAAACTATAGATTAGGGATCAAATGAAAATACCTAACTGAAAACTAAAACTAACCACTTTTTTTTTTTT